TATCGCCAAATCGAGCCCTTTTTCCATATTAATATTCAAATATCGTCCCAAGCACATCGTTAATGCAATGAAAGGCTTGGTTTCAATGCTGAGGAACACATTCCCAGATCGATGATGAATGGGAATAAAAAGCTTACCAAAGCAGTTTACATGCAGACGAGCAGCCAGACTTAAAATGAGGAGGTCGTAAGGCTCGTTAATAAAACAAATAAGCCGACATCTCAATAAGGCCGAGGCTGTAGCCATGTCAGACTACACAATCCTAAAATGTACCTATGAAATCATACACACCTGATTTGAATCTGCTTCGGGTATGACGATGAATACGTGCGTAATCGGGCTAGCCTTTCATCACTTCACCTTCCGCTATTCACATTCCTAGTAGATACAATAAACAAGAGTACATTGCGCTGCTCCTTTTTGATGATTTTTCCGTGAATAATGGTTTTTCGCTCTGACGATGTCCATCACATGACGGACGTAGGCTCAGCTCGGAGTCATCGGGGTCGTAGGACGGTGAGCTGAGGTTTTATTCACACAGTTCAACAGGGAAAAGTCCAAGACAAGCCTCCTGCGCTATCAGGTGAGGTCAATCTACGAATTCCTTTGACCCGCCTTCACAAACGAAATGAAAAGTACGCCGGTATAGACACGAACTTTCTCTCGGCTCCGAATCCGCCCAAAACTTAACAGAGTACCGCAGCGTACTAGCAAACTCATTAATAAGAGGGAATTAGGGATATCCGATAGTAGAATCTAATTATCTAAGAACCTATTTGTATAGTTTTACTGTTCCTACCGTTAAAGAATATATTTTCGAAAATATTAATAAATCTTGAATAAGAATCCATTTAAATTATAAAAGGACGGATAGGTAAAGCAAAGTTGTAAGGCACCTCAAAATTAAAAAGAATTTCGCTTCAATTAATTCAATTACAAAAGGCTTTTTATTTCAGTGTGCTGCAGCTGTGAATTCAATATGGAAATAAAAACCAGGTCGTGAGTACAAAAAACGATTTAGCACTCCGTTCAATAGGCACAAAAGTGAAGCGCCGATCACAGAAATACAGTGACTTCCAAGGCAGGCAAGGTCTCTCCAAAGCTATCACTATATTAATGGACGGTGCTCCATAAGGCAAATTTTCATTTGCTTTTACAACCAACGAAATTACTTTACACCAAAGGAATATTTTTAAAAACTATTATTTGTCTTGAAGTAGAACTCGAATTAACATAGGGCACTTAGGGTAAAGAGGATTGATATAAAACGTTTTTACCATTACGTTAGAAAAAGGCCTCATTGTTTCTTAGTAGTGATTGATTGGTAGTAAAATGAAAGGAGATAAAATTTGGCTTGAATATATAACATCAAGAAATGTGTAATTTATTGGTAATTTCCTCCGCTACTCTATTTGCCAATATATATATATAAGTAAATTTGCCGTACACATTTACCAATTATAAAAATTTGAATTGAAAGCCCAATTTACTTGCTGACAACCTAGAACCTGCAGCTGCGGCTCATCGACAATGTTGACGTTTTACGATTATGATCTGTTTCCTAATGATGAGATCAAAGTAAGAGTAAAAGTCCATTCTGGATGCGAATATCTTTTGGGAAACAGGGCTAAATGAAAATCAATAAAGTTGTGAGGTCTACTCAGTAATTATTTGTAAATCGAACTATTATTCCATTTATCGCATTAAGAGAGTGACTAAAGTTCTTATTCAAGAGCTAATGATAATTTTTAAAATTCCCTTTTTTCCGAATCCAGATATAAAGGAACATATTAAATGTGGAATTAAATGCTCTAGGATCAGCAATAAACAGGATAAATTGAAAGTAAAATGTGAAATCCAAGAAATTAGAAGACGGTAAGAATATCGTGCATTTATCATATTTATACTTCGGTAGCAATGCGAACTCAAGTGAGGGGGCTTAAGAAGTTGGTAACTTTAATTTTAAATGAATACCTAATTGAGATCCACTTAAGCTTACTTAGCTAATAGTTATATTAAGTCAAAATACGTTTTGTAACGAGCGGTAAATCTTGATTAAAAGTTTTAGTCACCTTAAATCGCATAAGCTGATAATGGACTGATAGTTGAATTTTCATACAATGCTGTGAATATACCTCAGGCTTACATTCAAGTTCATTCAAGA